GGTCGCAAGAAGCGTGTGGAAAAACCAAGGCGCAAAATAACTGCCCATGAACTGAGAAAAGTCAAGCGTGCAGCTGCCACGATGCCACTTGCCACCAGTTTGGCCATATTTCAGAGCTGCAACATCACTGGAGTGCCCAAAAGCACAAGGTGTGCAATACTCAGAGACATGGCCAAGGTAAGAAAGGCTGAAAGACGACCACCACTGAACAAGACACACAAGCTGAAACGTCAAGACTGGGCCAAGAAATATCTCAAGACTGATTTTTCTAAGGTTTTATGGACTGATGAAATGAGAGTGAGTCTTGATGGGCCAGATGGATGGGCCCGTGGCTGGATTGGTAAAGGGCAGAGAGCTCCAGTCCGACTCAGACGCCAGCAAGGTGGAGGTGGAGTACTGGTTTGGGCTGGTATCATCAAAGATGAGCTTGTGGGGCCTTTTCGGGTTGAGGATGGAGTCAAGCTCAACTCCCAGTCCTACTGCCAGTTCCTGGAAGACACCTTCTTCAAGCAGTGGTACAGGAAGAAGTCTGCATCCTTCAAGAAAAACATGATTTTCATGCAGGACAATGCTCCATCACACGCGTCCAAGTACTCCACAGCGTGGCTGGCAAGAAAGGGTATAAAAGAAGAAAATCTAATGACATGGCCTCCTTGTTCACCTGATCTGAACCCCATTGAGAACCTGTGGTCCATCATCAAATGTGAGATTTACAAGGAGGGAAAACAGTACACCTCTCTGAACAGTGTCTGGGAGGCTGTGGTTGCTGCTGCACGCAATGTTGATGGTGAACAGATCAAAACACTGACAGAATCCATGGATGGCAGGCTTTTGAGTGTCCTTGCAAAGAAAGGTGGCTATATTGGTCACTGATTTGTTTTTGTTTTGTTTTTGAATGTCAGAAATGTATATTTGTGAATGTTGAGATGTTATATTGGTTTCACTGGTAATAATAAATAATTGAAATGGGTATATATTTGTTTTTTGTTAAGTTGCCTAATAATTATGCACAGTAATAGTCACCTGCACACACAGATATCCCCCTAACATAGCTATAACTAAAAACAAACTAAAAACTACTTCCAAAAATATTCAGCTTTGATATTAATGAGTTTTTTGGGTTCATTGAGAACATGGTTGTTGTTCAATAATAAAATTAATCCTCAAAAATACAACTTGCCTAATAATTCTGCACTCCCTGTATAAGAGATCTGACCATTTCAGGTTTTACAGAGAATTTTCAAAGATGAATTTGGGGCACTGTTTCAGTTTGAGTGTTCAAAGTACCCCACAAGGGCCTACCATTTGTGAAAGGAGACACTCCAAGGTATCTCATATGGAGTTAATTGTACGGCTAGTTTTTACCAGGTCATGTCAAATTTTGTGGAAATTAATCATTTTATTTCTAAATACACATTGCATTTTTGCTTGGCATTTTATAAATCTGATATTTGTGTCAGATTTTACAGTAAGAATTGTGATTGATGGATTTGATGAGCATGTGTCTCATTTTGGACCATTGTTACAATTTGACTTTTCAAATTACCTCATGAATACATACCCTTTGCAAAAGTAGACAGTAGTAGTATATTTTATGATTTAATTTGAGCCTTATTATACAGCCATATATTTTACCAATTTACTATTTTTAGTTTATGGTATCTGTCCTGCTGCTATGCCAGTATTATGGAAGATGTAGTCTACAGCATTTGCAATGATTTTTATACTATAGTATTAAATATGCTTCAACGTGTCTCTAAGTATAATAACTAAGTGGAAATACATTATAAGCTACTAGTGGAATCTACTAAATGGAATCCTTTGCCATCAAGATGCTAAACAAAATACATCTAACTTTGCCTATGTGTTTATTGCACTCAATTTTAGCTGTTTCAGAAACAGATGTATACCCCCAAAATCCAGAAGTTCTTCTCTTACCATTGAGGTTAAAAAGAGTTAAATTGTATGCATTAGCTCAATGTTATTGTTAAGGTAATGATCAATGTTGGCTGTGTGCCATGCTTAGGGTTTTGCGCTAATAGTTCAGTTTTAGGGTCAACAGATGGATTTTGCATTTGCCTTTTGGCATAACTGAAAAACTGTTTAATATATATATTTTTTAGCAGTGTTTTTATTCTGTCCATGAGTCTAAAAAGTCCAACTTTGTTAGAAGTCCCACAGTCAGTTTCTCCCGATCCATTTATTCACTTCTTAAACCTACATGCATTAATAGCCCAAGTTGATAATATAATACAGCAATTTTTGTATTATTATTGAAATTGTACTTGCTTGATGTGTAAATATTGATTCGTTGAATGGATGTATTACACCTCCTTTTTATCTATCTTTATTTTTTGTTTCCATTTTTTACATTATATATTATGTTTAAAAATTAAAAAAAATATTTGAAAAAAGAAAAACATGAAAAATTCAAAGCTCTGCATTGTGTTTAAGTGTGTTCCTAGGTGAATGACTTATATGAGTCATACAGCCTATGAGTGATATGGTTTGGATATTATATTGTCCAGCCCTGATTCAGTTTTGAGCTAATCAGATAAATTCCTAATTTTCCTTCCATAAGATCCTGTTTATATGTTCTTAATCTGTTTTATAAGGTTTTCTGCCTCATAGATGTCACATGGTACTATAGATTCAACACTAGAAGCATTCTGATTTTTGATCGCCACAGGGCAAATTGCCCCTAGAAAAGGTTTGCATATACCGGAAGACATCCATTGTTAAAGCTTCACAGTTTTCAAGCTGTACTCATTTCCAGCTGCAATGTGTTAGCATGCAAACAGCCAGAACATCACAGATAAATAAAATGCTCCTTAATGAACCATAAACAAGGGTACTATAGTGAAGGACCCTTTATGCTTACACACAGACTTAAAGTGCTTCATATCACAGGAAACACCTGGGTATTATGACGAGATTTATAAAGAGACAGAATGTCAGTGTGCACTCCAGGTTCTAAGCATCTTTCTACAACTGAGTACCTGTAACAAGATAATATATATTGCCCCTGGCTAGCCTTATTGTACTGAATGAGAAGTAGACAGATGTTCTCAGGTTTTCCTGTTTAAAAGGAAGCCTGACTAAGTGCTGTGACGCAGTTTTGAAGGAAGGTGAATATTTATCAACTAGTCAAAAATATGTTATATAAATGACATTGTTAAAATAATGATTACAGACAGAACCAGGGATACACATTGCACTTCTTGGAATGCTTGCCATAAATGATTAGCATAGTTTTATGCTTATAACATTCTAATTTATCATTTCTACAGATTGAAATTTCCAGAAAAAAATCATTATTGATCTAAAATGCTAAATTGTATTGACCGCTTCTGTTTTCCTTTCTGCAGTATTTCAAAATACTATGAGATAGATTAATAGCAACATGGGCTGGAACATATCAGCCGGTAATGAAACCAATCACCAAGAATAAAAAAAGTGGCTCCCAATGGGAGACGTTAGCCACTACTTGGTGACAGCAGTTGGAATATCCCTTGGTACAGAAGTTATTCACTAAAATTAGTGACAGGCATTTTAGTGAGTAGTGGGAGGTCGGTAAAAAGTAATAACTAGATTTTAAACTGTTAGAGACTCATGGCTTTTTTTTGTTTGCCCCTTGAGGCGGACCCTAAGGTGACTGCCAATGACCTATTTTATTCACATGGCTATATCAAAGCAAGGTCACAGGTACTTCATTGGAAATCACTGCATATGCTTGGCATTTTAGGTAAAGCTCTCTCTAGTGAAACTGTAAAAAAGTGTAGATAGTGCTTTTATACAACGATAAACCAATAATACAGCAGGCAGCTACAACAGTTGGGTGGGTTTTTCCTAGCACACCACATCCAATCAATAGTATAAATAAAGTCAAAGTTAACATAGCAAAAATCAAAGTGGAGCACTAGCATAAAATAAATAACATATCCACTCGTCCTTATACATGATGAAATACATATGACGTGTGAAATATATCTCATGAACCCCTCAAAAAAGGAAAGAAAAAGTAAACTAGTACAATATTGCTTTAAGGTGCAAATAATTCAATAAAACATAAATCCAGGGCCGGATTGGGAATTAAAAGGAACCCTGGAAAAAAATATTTACCAGCCCCATAATGCGTCGCGCCAGCATAGTGTGCAGATACAGAGTTAGAAAAGATAACTTAAAATTAAAAATTATTACTCCAATTTAAAAAAAAACAACAAAAAAACATTCCAGGCTTCAAAATAAACAAAAGGGCAGATTTATTTTAAGCAGATGTGCCTTTGCATGTAATCAATGTTTCAGTCCAACTACCTTGACATATTAAGGAAAGCTTGGTAATGGGACTGAAATGGTGAATGTATCTAGGACACAACTGTAAAAAATTACGTTATCTTGTTTATTTTTTAAGTCCTGTGGGTGCGCTCTTCATTTTAAATATGTTATTGTGCTGGAGTATGCACCTAGCAACAAGACTGGGCCAATATCTGCTCATTACATATGGTACATATTAATGACATTTCTCTGTGTATTATGCATATATAAATGTACATTAGTATATGTGTAAATATAATAAGTAAATCTATATATATATATATATATATATAAATATATATATATATATATATATATATATAACTAATACACACATTAATATACATGTCATATACCAGTGGCAGATCCAGAGCCTGATCCCGGGAGGGGCACTTGTATATTATTTAAAGAAATAATCCATACACAATAACCACTACTGCTCTGTGTAGTGGTTATGGTGCCAGGAGTGGGGGGCGTGGTTCCCGTGCCGACCAGGATGGCTGCGTAAGAGGAGAGCTCCGCTCCACCAGACCCCTAATTAGCTTCTAAAAAGCACTTGCTAAAGCCAAATGGGTCGCACAAAACGCCCAGAGCACCCCCAGACCCCAAGGAACCCACAACAAAGGCCACTGGACTGCTATCTGCAACCACAATCCGACACGAGCGGGGAAACGGGAAGCCCCAAAATGGCGCCGACATCCCCAACGGGTTCAGATAACCCGTCCCTCGAAAGAATTGAGGATGAGCTGCAGAACCTGGCGGCCTCTGTAGTCAGAAAAGCCAACATGCAAACTCTCACAGCCACCATCCAGGACACGCTGAAAGCAGAGATGGCGGGGATACGCTCAGAGGTCGCCGCACAAGCAGGCCGCATTCACACAGTGGAGGAGGCAACTGCGGCCCTCACGACACGCCTCGCATCTGCAGACACCGCTGTGGCACGCCAAGGTGGGATCATACTGTCCATGAGGAGACACCTTGAGGACATAGATAATAGGGGCAGGAGATGCAATATCCGTGTCCGCGGAGTGCTGGAGACGGAGAATGCAGAAAACATGGAGGAGATACTGACAGAGCTCTTCCAATCTATACTCCAGTCATCTACCCCACAACCAATCGAATATGAGAGGGCCCACAGAACACTGCAACCCCGAACCCTGGATGACGGGCCAAGGGGCCTCATATGCTGCCTGCACTCTTTCCCGGTGAAGGAAGCCATCATGAAAAAGGCACGCAACCGGCCAACATGACCCTACAGAGGAGCCCAGATATCCCTATACAATGACCTGTCCCCTATAACGCTGGAGGCACGACGGGCACTCCGCCCAGTAACTACCACTTTAAAGGACCGCAATATCACTTATTAGTGGGGGTTCCCTTTCGCTCTTATGGCCAGGCACCACAACAGCTGGATATCCATCCGATGGCCCGAGGAGGTACCGGGATTTGTGGAATAACTGGGCCTCCCACCGTTGTCAGTGCCCAATTGGTTCTGGGGCCACCGAATCTGCCACCAAGACCACAGAGAGGGACTAGACACAGAGAAAAAAGATCCCCACCAGTTCAAACTACCAGACGACGCAGAAATCCGACCTCACCAGAAGAATGAGTACCTGCACTTGCCCGCTACGTCAACTAACACCTTAACCGACCGAGAACTTCGACCCACCCTTAAGGCCCACCGAACTGAACAGTCCCACTAGTCCTCCTGGAGGATACCAACAGGCATTGTTCCCAGTGACCCACGCCCATCCTCGACTGGCGATATGAGCAGAGGCGGTGTTTGATACTCCACCAGGTACAATGGGTAACCCCAATGGGGTTTTGGGTGGGGGAACCACAGGACTGAGGGTACACTGCTAAGGAACATGCACCCGATCGAACTTCCACATGGCACGGTGCTCCCCCCTATTGCACACACAAACTCTTTCCAGGAAGACTCGCAAACATGCATGTAAGGTGGGGGATGATTGAGGGATGGCGGGGAGGGGGCCTTGCGTTCTCATCAGGTCCCCCTTGCGCTTCCCTTGGACATGGGCCAGCTCACGACATAACGGATACGTCTCACTTGAATATGACTCCGAACTGTTAAATGTATCCCCTCCCCCATCCCCACTGCACATGTGGGGATGGGGGAGGGAATGCAGGAGGCACATGGGGGGGAGAGGGTCTTGTACATCTTGCACCGAGAGCCTGGTTAAGGAAGAGGGATGTAAAAGGACATAGAGTAGAACCTAAGTCACTCAAAAGGTTAATACTATAGCCAAAACACTCGAATAGCAGAACGCATTGAACGACTGTAACTGTAGTATATTAGATCCACCAATTTTAAGCAATCTCAGATTACGAACACACTAACAACTGGGGGGGGGTGGGGAAGAAAGAGAAAAGGGGGAAAATAAAAAAATATATATATATTGCGTTTAACAGGTAACTCTTATGGCACACTATGCGTTTTCGGGCATATTTATACTATTATCAATATCTCATAAGTAACGACAACAAACACTTAGACAAACTGAGCATATTGAATGTTTTCAAGAGACACCTACTCCCCCCCCCTTTTTTGTTGTTGTTGTTTAAGCAGCAAGCAATTGACACACTCGGTGAGTGCAAGGGACCATGGTTACCATCGGTTCAGTGCATTCGCCCAGTGGTTTTATCCCCATGGAGATATAAAGCTACTCTATCTGAATCTGAGTCTGGGGAGATGTATAGGAGGGGACACGAGCTCACACACAGGAAACTCCACCTACATGGGACATGGAAGGCAGTGGGTACGAGATGGACCGGGCGGGAAACTCAACATAAGAGGGCGGTGGTTGGCTGTCCGGAGAACGGACGGGGAAAATGGGGACATCAACAATAGAAAGGAAAAGTTTTATTGATAAAAGTTTATACTGATGTTAATGCTTTCTGTAATTATGATGCGCATGTGAACTTTAACATACGATGCTAATGAAAGCTTAGTAATCAGGTTGAAGGGGCTGGACAAGACAGACGACCTCAATCTCTTGTTATTGGTTCTCTCCTTGGGTGGAGA